GAGGCTAACGAGATTAATAACACAAAGCGCCTGCCTTCCACGAGTGGTTTATCATCCCCTGAAGGAGGAAGAGGAATAGGGGATTGATGGAGGGATGGAGAGATTGATGGGGGGAGGAAGAGAGAGAGCAGGGAAGAGAAGGGAAGAGAGAGATGGAGGTAGGCTAGATTAATGGCATATAGGCTAGGGTATGCATTAGGCTGCCAATAAAAGTAAAATATGAGTGTGTGTTTTTAAAAAAATCATTTAATCAAATTTAAAAAGAAGCAATATGTCTGAGTTTAGAGAAATAAATCATGACTGCACTCCAGGGGAACAAACTTTGTACAGTCCTCTGACACACCTGGTTTTTTTATACAGAGAATACATTGAGACCCAGGAAGACTGATGGTATATCAAACACAGGAATCCGTCCCTCCATGGACAAGGCAAACGGTCAGATCAAATCTCCGAGGGAAGTCTTCGTAACCCTGTACACATGAAGGGACCTGTTAGTCCATTTTTCTCCCATGTATATTAGGAAAGAAAAAACCAAACAAACAGAGCGATAGCTGTGTGTGACAGTTAACGATTTATTGCTATGTGCTCATTTTAGGCTCTTAATGTAAATAAAAGGAGTTACTCTTCTGGCTGGAGTGAATGGATGATCAGGATCATCAGGCAGAAACTGGGCTGCTACTACACAACAGGAAAAAGGAGAACTATGTCTGAAAGCCAAGAGACTCTGTGGGTTTCTAAGAAGTACTCCATGCCCAGAAATAAAGGTCAACAGACAACAAAGTTGCAGCAAGGTTTTCCATGGTGGTTCCAGTGCCAGCCCAAGTGACTGCCGCAGGGCAGGTGGCTTCTCCAGCCTCAGCTTCCTGCCCTGCAAGCACAGAGGGAGGGGCCTCTCCAGCATCCGGCTGCGGAGCACCTCCATCTTGCATGGTGCCCAGTTCCTGCAACAGAACCAGCTTCTCCATCACAGCTCCAGGCTCCTGTAGCATGGAAAGCTTCTCAGCACCAGGAAAGCAGAACAGTAGTACCCAGCAGCCACCCATCAGCCAGCAGCTTCCCCTGGCAACCCTCTGGGGCTTTTCTGTAGCACAGTACTTCTAATCAGACGCTTCTCCATGAAGAGATTGCCCAAGCACCCTATAGGGCAGATTTCTAGCAAGTTCCAGAGGGCAGATGTCCATCAAGTTCTGCTAGAGTAGTACTATGCAGCCTCTCGCCGTTCAGTGAGATGTGGTGTGCCTTCTCTAATGAGGTCTGGATCACAGCCCTAGTGGGGGTTCCTTTTGGGCATCCTATCTCAGCCCTGGAAGTAGCCTGCTCCTTAAATCTGCTCTTCCTCTCTTCTTCCAAGTGCTATGAATTCTACTAACCAAGTCTTCATTACTCCAATCCCCCGGTACAGTTAATAACTGTTCATCAACTTTCCTTGTCCAAGTTACTCTGTGTCCTAGGAGCAATGAGCATACCTGGCAAGATTCTCCTTTCCAAATGCCATATTCCAATAGCAGTTGAGGGTGAGGCAGAAAAATACAACATGGTCTTGGAGTATCCTATAGTACCAGTAAGGAAGGAAGTGCTCAACAAACAAAACAAACAAACAAAAACCAAACAGACAGAAAAAGGATAGGGGCACGTCAAAAGGACACAAGAGTGACCTGAAATAACTCCCAACCTCCAAAGCAGGAACAATTTGAAAAACAAAATCACATAATATTGGCTTATAAACCAAAATTCCATATAAATATCTAGAGCCCATACTGACATAAAGCTTGAATAAGTGGGAGAAAGACAAATCTTCCTGACAGAAGAATTCTAAAGAACATATATAGGGACTCCCCCTCAAAGACATGAACGTAATTCCTGCCCTTCACCCTTGAGGGTAGCCTAGACTTAGACTCGCTTCCAAAGACTAGGAAAAGGGAAAATATTAACTTTATGTGGAGAAACATGGTGTACACTATGCAACAGCAAATGATGAAGTTTAACCAAGTGATGACATCATCAGTGATGTCACATGAACCTTATGATACCCCTGATATGATGTGATGAGCAGGGTATTTCAGCTCTGGGGTATTCTTTTCAAAACCCATAACCCTAGCCTAATCATGAGAAAAAACACTAGATAAACATAGACCAGGGGACAGTCCACAGGATACTTGGCCAGCACTCCTCAAGATTGTCAAGGTTAGGAAAAGCCAAAGATGGCAATTGTCATAAACCATGGGAGACTGGGCAGACATGAGAATGAAATGCAATATGGTGCCCTGGATTGGATCCTGGAACAGATAAAGGACATTAATGGAAAAAACAATAAAATCCAAAGTCTGAGGGTTAATTAATAGTAATGTACTAATGTCAGTTTCTCAATTTGACAAACTAATGGTAAGATGTTAACAAGGGGAAAACTGGATGCAGGTACATGGTAACTCTCTGCTATCCTTGCAACTCTTCTGTAAATCTAAAATGGTTCCAAAATAAAAGGTTTGCCTTAAAAAAATTTATTGTGGTTTCTGTCTCCTGATGGGACCCTGACTGATGCAAGCACCTAGTCTGATTATCAAGGCAATCATTCTATGGACCTAACAAACATCATCCAATATATTCATAACCATAACCAGAGAGGGAGAGAACAGGGAAATGGAATCCTTGGAAATGAGGTCATTTATTTTTTTAAAGATTTATGTATTTGAGAGAGAGAGAGTGCACATGAGGGGGGAAGGGGCAGAGGGAGAGGGAGAGAGACAATCTCAAGCAGACTCCCCACTGAGCGTAGAGTCTGATGCCTAGCTGGATCCCAAGACCCTGAGATCATGACCTGAGCCGAAATCAAGAGTCAGATGCTTAACGGACTGAGCCACCCAGGCCCCCAGAATGAGGTCTTAATTTAAACTGCGCTACCTAGTAGATTACTCAAACCTGCATTTTGTTTCAAGAATTACTTGGCTTAGAATAATTAAATGACACACTTTCTAACAAGTGATATTAGAGGAACTGCTGCAGACAAAGCCCAGGTAAACCACACCCAGTGCTCCAGCTCAGAACAGCATTTGCTCAGGTGTTTAAACAAAGGGTCAGAAATGTTTTCCTCAGAGCATCTTTAAAGACCTCAGCTATCTACCAGTGTTTATTTACGCTTTTGGTCATTATAGAGCCAAAACAGAAGTTGTAAAGAAGAGACTAAAGATTGCATCAATATCATATTCTAGGATGGAAAGAATATGTGTCCTCAGAATTCTAGAGGCTTCATTAAAAAATCAGTAAACTCCAAAAGCAAGCAACAAGTTATTTTCTAGCAACCCTAAACTCCAAAATAAAGAAACAGTTTGTTTTCTAGAAGGCCTGAATCAGTTCTGGAGAGCCTGAAACTCATGTAGCCTTTTGTTTTCTTCACACAAACACTCATCAGTCTGATCTCTCAGCTGGAGGCGGGCTGTGGGCTCCTTAGGACACTAACTCTGAATACGACTGCAACTATTCTATCCCACAGCATACTCGCCCTGGAATTAGGCACAAACCTCACTTTTCAAACGAAGAATACATCCACTCCTTTCATTCCTGCTAGTTGATAGAATAATGTTATTTTTCTTCAAAATGTGTAGGCACAACTGATTTTTAAGCTGGAAAAGTTAATGAAAGCAACATTGCATTTGAGGTCAGTGGGCCAGAAAAATGGCTGTGAGCCAAATCCCACATCCCAAACATTTTGCCTCCGCGGCATGTGAACAAAATGCCCACTCTGCTCCTGATCTCCAGCAGAAGCAAAACAAAACCCTGCAAGACAGTTATCCATTGGAACTGGAAGCTTTTCAGGGGCAGAAACACACACACACACACACACACACACACTCCCTGTTTAAGACACAATAAAAAGGCTCTTTCACACAGAATGTTCTGTGCACAGACAGCACAAGGGCTACCCCTGGAGATGCTGTTTTAGGGACAGCCAAGAGATCACAAGCTTAAAACAAGCAGTTTTTACAAGATACACAGTAATCTCCCCAATTCCAAATATAAGCAAGAAAGAATTCTTAAAGCCAGTTTATCTAGTTGGCTTGAAATCCCTTTGGACTAGTTGCGGAAAATTGTGCAGTAGAAATGAGGACGAATTTGTGTTGTCATGAGATCCTGCTGATTTTTTAAAACTATGATTTCCTTTCTCTCAATGTAAAATTTCATGCATCAGAATTCAGTTGCACTTGGGCTCCCCCTCACATTTCTCAAAGCAAAAAAGCAGTACAAAGAAACAGGAAGTATCCACAATTACACGTGCAGCAACGAGTTAGCCAGAAAACTGAAAGTTTTAACTGTGAAATTTAGAAAAGCAACTGTATTACATGACATTCCACTGCTTAATCCCCTTAATAAAGAATAGGAGGTTTTAAGTGCAAGCTGCTTACAGTCCAAAATATCATTATGTTAGAATTATATAAATTCTATAAATTGTATAAATACAATTAGATTATATATATATATTCTAACTGTATAAATACAGTTAGAATTATATAAATTCTAACATAATGGAGACAAATTATATACCATATTACAATTTGATTTAATACCAAAATGTTCATAAATTTTCAGTTATTACCAATATTTCTCCTCCATGTTTTCTGAATGAGTACTCATTACTTGCATCTCAGAATTCAGAGGTAAATAAATATATTAAGCATTGAAAATATCAATTTTACTTCTGACTTAAAGCCAACAGGTGATACATTTTAATCACCAAGGAAGAATGAGAGATAAATGAACCTGTAAACATAGCAGTTAGGATAGAATAGTTATGTAACCAGAAAACTGCTTTACTGAACTAACGAACCTCAATTCTGGACCCTACTCTGGAAATCATATTCATATTTACAGATGTATCAGCATCAGATTATTGAAATCTCCTTCTTTCCAAGTCCTTTTCTTTATCCTCAATTAACAACAGTGCTGTATATAACACATATACTGATTTAAAAGAAACTGTATTCCTGAGCTGGACCCAGAATCCATACCATATTCTGCATAGGGAACAAGAGGGAAAACAGGGGTTCAGGATAATCTGCAGACAAGGGAGCCCATACAGCAAAAACGCGCCGAGACAGACAAGAGCAGGTGGAAACTTACCACTGGAGCAGTTGATCCCACCCCAGCCAGGCTCACACTGACAGGTGTTTGGAGCAATGCAGCGACCGTGGACACATTTATCAGCACAGTGGGCTGTCAGAGAGAAAATCAATCAAATAAGGAAAGTTGGCACAAGAAAAAAAAAAAAAACAAACAACAAACCAACAACACAGCTGTTTCACATCCCAGTGTCAAGTATCACTTAAAAACAACATGCATGCTTGATAATTTCCTTCAGTCCATTCCTTGGCCCTCTCGTGGTCTGCTGTGTGACCAAACAATTCCCCTTCTTATTTTGAGATCTCCAAATAAATTCCTTCATTTCTACTATTTAATTCTACTTCATGCCAAATTAGGAAAGAAGTTTCAAGGAAAACTGCCCAGCCCACATTAAAAAAAAAAAAAAAAAAGATCAATGACTATCCAAGAGTCAATTGTCAATGACTACTTGAACTTTTTGTTTCAGGAGGAGCATATGTGGATACAGGGACCAAACCAAACCCAAAGCAAGATATGAGGACTCTGAAATGGCAGAGTAGACGGAGGGATATTGCCCTCACATGATACCTTCACTGGAAACAAAAGTCAAATTTCTTTGGGCACATGTCATTCACAACTATGACACAGCAGAAACAGGTGCTCTTTTTCTATTGACAAAAGTATTCAAAAACTGTCACCCAGGTCTTTAGGAAGTAGTCAATTCTGATTTCTCTTTCATTAGTGAATACCTCAGGTGTGACCCACCCCGGGGAGGTCAGGGTTATCATTGCAAACATGAGTGGATGGGTCGTCTGAGGGTTTCTAAAGCAAAGGTCCATGGCCCCATAGAAAGGAACATCAAATATATACTGTGCTAAATGTTAACATTGCCTTCAACGTCAGCACCACTCACTTTGATTAAACATTCTTTAAAGTACCTTGAAATATGAGTAATTGTGAGAACCACATGGCATAGTTGGGGGTTCAGATATTCTAAAATTTTATGTAAGGATGGGATAAGGTATCCTATGCTTTACAGATAAGTTTTATTAATGCATACCTTATTACAATAGTAAAACAGATTTACTGTCTAAATGTGAAATACCAAAAAGCAAAATAAACCTATCTCTGATTCCATCAACTCATAACATTTCTGTTTATGCAGATCCTTTCAGGAAAATTTCCCTATATTTTTCTCTCCTCAAGGGGGAAAAAAAAAAAAAAGGATCATAATATTTTTCAATTTTCCTTTCCACTCAATATAATGGTGAAAATCTTTCCGTGTCATTAAATATTATTTTAGGTGATTTAAGCAGTGTTGTATGATTATAATTTATATTGTGTATATATACTGTATATATAGTGTATAGTATATATATTTACATGTGTATATATATGTGCGTGTGTGTGTATAATTACATATTATATATTTTCTGGACCCAAACCAATAACCACTTCTAAGGTATTTATCAAAAAAATTTAGACATGCAGAGATAATAGGAGAAGGCATTTTAGATGAAAAGAAAGCAAAAAGAAGGGGTAGAAAGAAGTCAAATGGAAATGAGAAGATCTGCTTGGGTGCAACGTTGGGAGCAAAAGCTTTGGAAAGATACAGACTTTGAAAACCAAACTAAGGTGTTAGGACTTTATTCTGAGAATTAACTGGGAATACTCTAATGAAATATACAGAATTATTACAACAAGCAGGTAGAGGATATCACAAGGGAATAAAGTGACCATAAACTTAAGGAACTAACGGCTCACTTCCTTCACCAGGATAATTACTTAGCCCTCAGGCCATTGGGGACGGATGCCAGGCCAAGTGAACCTGGGACCTTGGGCCAGAGTAGAGATATTGACACTAGCATTCCAAGGAGATGCTTAGCAACTCCCCAATACTGGATTCAGACAATCATATATTGGATTGTAAGTAAAAGTAAGATCAGCTTGTAACATATGAACACACCGGCTCGACAAAGGCTGACACATGCGGCCAGGTTAAGTCAATAGATGCCAACCTCAGGGTCCACTGTCTCTTCCCATTTCCATGCCCATGTTTGATATTGTAGATGTGCCGTTCATTTGGAAGGTCATAGCTCCGTACTGTTCTTTGAAGTGTAGCTGTGCACATACAAGCCAGCAAACTACCATAACTGGAGTATGGAAGCGTCCATTAAATGCCACGAAAAGCTCAGGTCTAACCGTGCCAGGGGCATATTCTGGATCACACTGTGCGCTATGGCAACATGCACACCCCAGGACTCTCCCACCTTACCCGCAACACCGAGGCCCACCGTAACATGTAAATGTGAAAGCGCTTGGTCTCACTTGACATCTCTGTTTGCAACATAATTGCAAACATCAGCCTTGAGACCCACATTTACCCATTTCTCCTCATTCAAGATACTAAAACTATTTAAAACTCCATTTGCGAATCTCGAGTTTTAAAGATCCAATACTAGTCGCCTCTACTATGAAAGAAGCATTGTCTGGTACTGTGCATTTAAAAGAAAATGCAGAAATCGGTTATGGCGGTTGAAGAAAAGAAGTGTCACCCATCGCCTCAAATTCCAAAATTTTGAGATCGCTGAGTAATCATACGAATGCTCTCATGTTTGATTCCTGATGGGACAAACTTGGTGTTTTATGAAATGAACACCAAGAAGTCCAGTCAGTTGGAATAGATAAAACAAAAATCCTGCGATGGTAATTGAAAAATCCAGATTATTTTATAGAAGCCTTGAACTAACATTTGGCCAAAGTCTGGAGCAAACTGTCAGTAGATAGTTAGCAGCAAACAAATTGATCTGTAAATTAATGAGAAACTGGAAGGGGGACTCTGCATTCCTAACGATTTTTTTTTCTTAATTAAAACTAAAGCCAATGGAATCACCTCTGAGCATTGAAGCCTCAAGTCAAGTAATTAACTGAGTAATGGGAAATATTGTTGGGCATAGATTCCAAATGGAAAGAACACAAATTCTATAGCCACAGTGCAGGATCTTCCCACAACATTAGACTCTGTTACACAGTGCCGTGTGCGTTCCATGTCCTTCCTTAACCCACCAGCTTGGACCCCCACATCTAGCAAGAGACTTCACCCAGTAACAGCTAGCCCAGCAGGAGCAAAGGGAGACATCAGAAGAAAAGAGAGTAAGCTATAAAACTCTATGTCTTCAAACGTCCCAATTTGCCAAATGGCAGGAACGCTCACTATGGCATATGTACGAACAAGCACAGACCCTCCCCCGAGGACATCAGTGGAGCTCGATCCCTACCCTAGTCTCATCTTTCCTCATTTAGCTTCAGATGCCACCTACTCTGGAGACCCAGCTTCCATAACTAACAAACTCCACGTGAGAAACCAAAGTAAGATAAAGACATCGATTTGTCCTGTAGAAAATCCCAAAGTGAACTAGAAAGAGAAAAGGAACAGAGGTCCCCCTTAACCAATGTTTAATCAGTTAGATTTCAAGAATAGGTACAAAAAAAAAAAAAAAAAGAATAGGTACAAAAGACCCATCATAAGTGTGGCTCTCACAACAATGGAAAACAGTCATTTTATTCCCTATTCAGGTCCTTTCTTCTTATTTTTAGAAGGGCAATTACAATCAGGAAAATATCTATTCAATATGATTTATTTTTCACACCTCCCTTTAAGAAAATCATCACATTTCATAGTCTGAGTTTTTAGTTGTCTTTTTTAGAGACCTGATGTAACCCTGCACCCCACTAAATGCACGGGTACAGACTCATGACTTGTGAGGGGCAGCCAAGGCATCTTCCCCCTCAAGAACTAGCAGGCAAGAGATACTGATGAGAAGAACATGCCACATCTTTGAAGTGAAAGCTGTGGACAGTCTGTCTGCCCGACGGACAGGTGAAGACTGACATGATGACCCTAGGATCTTCTCTAATTAGGCTCCTATTTCAGCCTTAGTTCCTAAATCCATTTAAATCCCATTTACCAGTGCCATGGACCTCATTCCTTTCACTTGTAAATACTTGGCTTTAATACCAAGAGCCACTAACTATACTCAATAGTTTTCTCTTCTGCCACATACATTTCACTTTGGATTTACACCTAGGGTATGGCAAAAAAAAAAAAAAAAAAGAGTGGGCAGACTAAAGATTCCTTTATAAACCAATTATATCTCCTAATACAGTACTTATTGTTGTTCTAATGGACATACTATAATCAATTCATTTAATTTGAAAAATGTTTCCATGATCCAAGTATCTCTTGAAAATAACTATCCAGAAGAAATACAAACCTTCCAGCTAACCCATCTTTCCTCAGAAATTCCTTTTATTCTGATATTATAAATGAATAGCATAGGTCACAAATCTTGCTTGCACTCTTTACGCTGAGTTGCTATAGAGGAACATCTATTTTTAGAGTTAAAGTTGCCTTTACTGAACATAATTGCCACATTTTTTTCAGACAAGGAAACCGAGGGTAGGTACATGGAATGGTTTTCCCAACATTCGTAGCTGGTGTTAGAGGCCAAAGTAGGATTAAACTCTAGTACCTGACTCGCAGTAGACCAAAACTTATGATGGGTTTTAAGAGAGGTGTGGGACAGTGTGAAAGGGATGGTAGAGGTGATGCTGGGTCCCATACTAGGGCAGGTGAACTAGATGGCTAGGAGTCATAAGTTAGAAGCTTCAAATGAGGAAGAGAGAGAAAGCAGAGGGTTGACTTGTAAGATAAACTGTATCCACGCCATACTTTTGTTTGAGGCCAACTATACATAGTCATTACAAAACTAATTGCTGTTACAGTGTTCAGGTGCAGACAGGAATAATCTTGTTTTCCTACATCTATATTACATTGCAGCCTACCCCACTGTGTTTGTTTAGAAAGGGGAAGGGAGTTCTCTTCCCTTCAATTTAATGTTCACTGACGTTAGCAGGCACATTTTTAGGGACTACTGTGGATACAGAGACAGCAGACCAGGAACTCTCCCTCTTCACAGAAAGTCAAATACAAGCTCCTCAAACTCAACAGACCCAGAGCAGAATGCAGGGGTATGAACAAAATACTGTGAGAGCATATTCAACAATTCCATTCCCATGAAATGTCCAAAAGGTAAATCTATAAAGACAGACAG